TATCTTTATTTTGTTTATTTTTGTGTGGTGCTGAGGATGGAACTCAGGGCCTCACAGTGAGAGGCAAGTGCTCTCTACCATTGAGCCACAACTAAGCCCCTTAATCTACATATATTCTTGAACCAACATATTTCACTTAATAAAATTTGAAAATAAAAGCTCAGAAAGTATGATTGTTAAGGACTTCAAGTTAGGTGGGTAGACTGATACTCAAACTTGGTTCCACTTTTATCAGCTGGGTAAATTCGAGCAACATTCTCTTTTCTTTGTTATGTGTGGTACCCTCTCTAATATATAGATCACATTCCTAATACCACTCGTGTCTTATGGGTGTTTTAAGTTTGAAACAAGCTCTTAGCATAATACCTAGCAGATGTTAAAGATTCAGCAAATACTCCTATTATAATTGGAATAAATCATTTTCCATTCATACAAAGGGCAGAAATAGAGAAAACATTTAATGTTGCTTAGAAATAATTTCATTCCCAATCTTCTCTCTCCACAGATGACTTTGCTTCCTATTTAATAGAAACAAATTGAAGTTACTCAACATGAGTGTCCTTGACTTCCAAATTTTCCAATTCAAAATTTGATTGCACTACTACATATCCTTCCCTTCTTTAAGCCCAAATCAAAGAAAAAAAATTACCTTCCTTCCTTTTAAGCTAAAGATGTCACTTGAATCCTCATAGGACTATGTCCCATAAATTAAATTTCCTTTGCTTTTATCTTCATCTTCTCCTGGTCTATCAGTTACAACCCATAAACCTTCGTATTTGGCTTAAATAGGCTCTACTCTAAGACAATGTTCCCTTGATCTTTTTTTTTTTCCTATTCCACTTGGTTTTCATCAGAGTTTCTCCTAGTTTTTCTTCTCTCTCTTCCATCACAGGCTCCTGCCCCTTGTTCCCTGATATAATTTCCTTAACATCCAGTTCTTGCCATTTTACAGTTCTTCCCATTTTCTCCTTTATTATCTCATTCTATCCATTTAACAATATCTTAGAAAATAAGTTATTAACCTTTGTCTCTGGTCCTGCCCACTACCTTTGAACGCCAATATCACAGAAATTAACCATGTAACATGGATTATCAGATCTGAAAAGGACCTATGTGCCACACTGCGTTCTAAATAAGATCTGCACATGTATATGTGTATATACCCATTGTTCACAGCAGCCATATTAAGTAGGTTTAGAATTCTTATCCCCATTTTACAAAATCTGAGGCCTGAAGAAAATAAATAAAGTCCAAGGTTGAACCCAGGAAAGTAAAGATCTAAAATCTTTGCTCTCAATCATTCTAACGCATCACCTTTTGAAAAAAAAATATCTCATTTATAGACAAACAGGTCAGGTACTCTTTGTCCTCTATTAAATAGCTTTCCTCTAACTGCCACTAAATTTCTCATTTATAGATCTATTAGCTCCTTAGACTAAACAAAACCCAATCTAAACTCACCAACTTCTCTCCCAAAATAACTTCTATGTTCCTCCTCCTTTTTTTTTTATTGTTGGTCGTTCAAAACATTACATAGTTCTTAATATATCATATTTCACAGTTTGATTCAAGTGGGTTATGAACTCCCAATTATACCCCGTATGCAGATTGCTGTATCA